TACACCCAAAGAATAAGTACATTCTCATTCCTACCACATCCAATACCATCAATCCCATCCAATCCCATCCAATCCCAACCCCCATTCCAAAACCGCAATGAAAGAAATAATCAACCTCCCCGGCCCTCGCACCAAGCTCATCGACTCGCCGATCCCCAGCATCAATGCCGACCAAGTACTAATCAAGGTGGTGGTGTCGGGCTCCAACCCCAAGGACTGGAAAGTCGCCGAGTTGGCGGGTGACCTAGACAATGCGTTCTTTCAGCGGTACGCGCATGTCCGGCAAGGTGTGAACCAGGGAGATGATATTGCGGGCGTGGTGGTGAAGACGGGGAGGAATGTTGTGGAGTTTAAGGTATGGATTTTCTTTTCCCTTGGTGGGTTGTGGTGTGAGAGAGAGAGAATGGGGGGAGAGGGGGGGAGGGTAGGGCTAATGATAATGATGAGGGTATAGGAAGGGGATCGTGTCGCCGCGTTCCATGAAATGCTTACCCCTGGGGGCTCGTACGCTGAGTATGCGGTTGCGTGGGCTCATACGACGTTTCATCTGCCCGAGGGGGTTTCGTTTGAGGGTATGTTCTGCCTTGCCCTGTCTTACCCATCATCCTTTTCATTGCTTGCATGTTGAATCTCCGTCTATCTATACATCACTTGTTCATCTGCATCTACTTATATCCACAACCCACCACATAAAAAAAAACCACTAACAAAGCACAGAAGCCGCAACGATCCCCCTCGCGGCCCTCACAGCCGTCATCTCCCTCTACCACCACCACGGCTTCCCTGCCCCCTGGTCTCCCCCACCCCACACCCCAACCCTAACCTCCACCCAAACCCTACCTCAACCTCCAACCCCATTCCTAATCTACGGCGCCAGCACCGCCGTCGGCTCCTTCGCCATAAAACTCGCCCGTGCGAGCAACATCCACCCCATCATCTCCATCGCCGGCGCGGGATCTCCCTACGTGGAAAACCTCCTGGATGCGTCGAAGGGGGATCGGGTGATTGATTACAGAAAGGGAATTGAGAGTACGGTTCAGGAGATTAAATCTATTCTTTCAATTCCATCTACCTCTGGAGGGAAAGAAGAAGGAGGGGAGGGGATTGTGTTGAAGCATGTTCTTGATACGATTGTTTCGGAAACGAGTATTTCTACTATTAAACAAGTCCTAGCTTCAGGAGGAGGAGAAGGGGAAAGAAGAGGAAGAGGAAGAGGAAGAGGGGGGAAAGTCAACACCGTCCTCCCCCTCCCATCACCCAATCCCTATCCATCTGGAATAGACGCCTCGACTACATGGGTAAGTTCCGCTCATGAAGTTGTGAATGGGGACGATTGTCGGGATTTGTGTTTTGTGTTTTGTCGGTGGTTTACCCGTGCTCTCGCTTTACCTTCTCAGGAACAGGGGGAGGGAGATGGGCAGGGGAAGGAGAGGAAGTTCTCAGGCCATCCGTATGTAGTCAGGGAGGGAGGGTTGGGGGGTGTGGAGGGCGCGATGAGGGATTTGAGGGATGGGAGGGCGAGTGCGGTGAAGTTTGTTTTTAGGGTTGGGGAGACGCCGGGTCTTGGGTGATTTTTGGTAATGAGGGGAATATAGGAGGGGGGGTATAAAGGGAGGGGAGGGGAGGGGTTCGGGGGTTGGTTTATTTGAATATGTGGGCTGGGGAGGGAGTTGGGGGTATTGTGTGTTGATTACTATGTTTTATTATTATTGTAAAATAGTAAGGATGATGGGTGTCTGGTGGTGTATAGCTATATGTATAGTAATGTATACTATGTAGTGAATAAATGTGGACATGCAAGCTGGAGCATTGCTGGGCTCTCATTCTTGGTCGTTAGCAAGCACAACTGCCTAGAATACCAACAGTATATACAGTAATATGTAGATGTGAAATCCGCCGATCAACAGCTCATTAATCTCTAATCTATATCTATATCTACTAATCTAAGCATCAAAAAGCGACGGCTTGTACACCCCAGGATCAATAAACTCGCGACCACCGCGTCTCGTGAAACCCCACCGAATCTGACTAGCCATGGCAATCTCCACATCCAGATGCTGGGCGAACGTCCAGGTCAAACCGGGGTCCTTCTGGAATCCTCGGCCCACAAATGCCACGTCCAGACCCTCCTTCTCGAGGAGGTTGTTGGCCTGGCGGCCATTAGTGATGGCGCCGACTGCCGACACGAGGAGCTTGTCGCCCACGGCCTGCTTGACTGCCACGGCGAACGGGGCCTGGAAGAGAGGTCCCGACTTGACCTGCTGGGCGGCGTGCACGCCACCGGTGCTGATGTCCAGCAGGTCAATGGCGCCCTGCTTGGCCAGAGCCTGGGCGAATTGGATCGTGCTCTCCAGGTTCCAGCTCTGCTCGGGGAGAGTCTCCTCGAGCCAGTCGGAGGCGGAGACACGGAGGAAGACGGGGATGTTAGGGCCGGCGACGTCACGGGTGATCTGGGCGATTTCGAGAGACAGACGCATGCGGTTCTCGAGGGAGCCACCGTATTCGTCGGTACGGTTGTTGGCGGCTGGGGAGAGGAAGGAGGAGAGGAGGTAGCCGTGGGCACCGTGGATTTCGATAAAGTCGACGCCGACGGCGAGGGCGCGCTTGACGGCGGCGGCCCAGTCGGATTTGAACTGGGAGATGTCGGCGGCGGTCATGGCCTTGGGCTTGGGGAAGGTGTCGGAAAAGGGAATGTCACTGGGGCCGATGACGCGGTCGGGCCAGCCGTAGAGTTCTTCAGTGGCCGTGGCGGTGCCGGAGATCCAGGGGGCGACGGTGCTGGCCTTGCGACCTGCGTGGGCGAGCTGCACGCCGATCTTCTGGTTCTGGGAGTGGGCGAATTCCACGACCTGGCGCATGGGAGCGATCTGCGAGTCCTGCCACAGACCCACGTCCTGCGGGGTGATGCGGCCCTCGGGCTGCACGGCGGTGGCTTCGATGATCATCATGCCGGGGCCGCGTTGGGCGATGCCACCCAGGTGGGCGATGTGATAGGGGGTCATGTGGCCATCGTGGGCACTGTATTGACAGAGGGGGGCGAGCTGAAACGGTTAGTATGGTTAAAGTACTCGGCAGAGGCTGGGACTTACGCCGAGGCGGTTCTGGAAGGTGACGCCGCGGATGGTGAGAGGCTGGAACAGCTTCGGCACTGGCTTGCCGCTGGTCTGGGGGTTCGCGGCAGTTCCAGCCGGTGGGTCTTGGGCTGGGGTGAAGTAGGAGATGCCCGGGGCGGGGGTGTTGACGAGGTTGGTGACAGTCATGATGTCGGGTATATTGTATACTGGGTATATTGATGGGTATGGACAGTTGATGTGAGGTGGATGTGGCTTTTATACCCCAGATCGAAGCGAGTGGAAGCTGATTTCAAATCCAGGTGGAGTTGATAGAAGGATGTAGCGGTTGATCGTCGCCAGTGGCCGACAGGAACCTGCGTCTTTGCCGCATCGGGCGAAGTCTCCGACTTTGGTGGCTGATGGTGGCTGCAACGGTGGCCTGACTCGTGGAATGTCGCCATTCTACGGTTCGCGGGTTTTGGGGGTCGGATCAAGGGCTGTGAATGGTCGAGAAGAGCTATCCCCACCAATGGCACGGCAGTTGGACCGCACGCCAGCCGAGATTAATCAGCATCCGGAGGAAAATTGCCCCAAAGTCTCCGAGCATGCTCGAGGGGGGGTGCAGTGCAGTGCCGATGCAGACTGCAGACTTGAATTTGCACAAGCAAAGATATGCCGTGGTCTGTGCTGATGCGGCAAGAGGGCAGGGATTCATCCTGGTCAGAAGCTTATTTCCCCGGCTTCTAAATATATCACGTGTCTCAATCGGGCTAGGGCGCTGTAAGCATTGAAGCACCTGTAAGCACCCGTAAGCCGAACTGGGATTATCGTCTCATCGGACGGCATTCTAAGGAAAGGATTCAGAATGTTTTAGAGGTGCTTCATTGATTGAGACAGGCTAAACAGATGACTGGAAAGGGGAATGATTTGTAGTATCAGCCTGCAGCGACAGACTGAATGAACTTTTTCAGTCAAAGCCGATCAGTTGATTAGGACAGGCTGGAGTCTCACATGGCCGAGTCCTGTTTTGAAACGTAGATGACGATCTTGGACGTTTGGAAAAGAAATTTTTCAATGGTGGGCTCATGGGAAAAAACGCCCCTTCGATAACTCGTTCCAACTTTGACCCCAAGCTATCTGGTGAATAACACCAGACAGTGAATGCACCTCGTTGCAGTAGAGATTGTGATGATTATCAGCGATTATCCCGCTGACATCCTCCCTCGAAAACATCCTTGTTTTCCGTTGACAGGCCTGGCTACATCTGCTCACCTCTCACCCGGCTGTACTTTTCCGGCCTGAATACCCTACACTGGGTGAAATCGTGATACGCCCTTCCAACAAGAACCACGATATCCGACGTCTCCTTTGCAGCTCAAAGATATCCATCCTCACCTCACGCCTTTCATTGCGAAATCCCTGAATCAACCCGCCCAGTTATCCATTCAGCCGTGGGATCAACGGTCGCCTCCACACCCATTCTTCTAGGGAAGCCAAGGCGAACTCGAAACACCACCGAGGCCAGTTATGAAGCCAAGACGGCATCATGCCATCGTTTAATATCGACCAGATTGCCGGTGTCTGAAATATACGGCCATCAAAATCACCATGCGCTGCTACAGTATCCACACGGCCCACGGAAGTCCATCCCTCTTAAAGACTTCTCTCAACCATATGCAGGCGGGAGAGAATCCCCACGTGTTCTTCAAATATCGCCCCGCAGTGTCATGGTCTTCCACCGCCCATCGTTGATTCTATTTCGACCATAGTGAAGGTCGGAATACGGGGGCTCGGAAACGCCCCCCGAAAGCGGTTAAACTTCGAGCAGAAGCCGGCTTGAGATCGGCATCCCGCTCAACTGCAGGATGCCAACGCCAAGAAGGCCGGGAAGAATTCATTGGTTGAGTAGGTTCAGGTGCCACTAATTTCCCTTGCTAATGTCATCTTGGCCGGGTGGTGTAGTTGGTTATCACATTTCGTTTACATTTATTCATAAATGTTGTCCCGAAAAGGTCCAGGGATCGAGCCCCTGTCTGGTCATAGCTTTTTGTTTTTGTTGCATAGCGACCAGCATAACTGATCGGTAGATAGGAAAGAAATTAACCGTCAAGTCGTATTTGAGGGTTGGAATCGAGGAGACCAGGCGCTAGTCCAAACATGGACATCAATCACATGGTAACCCAGAGATAGATTTCTATATTGAAAAGTCGGGTAAAACTTTTTTTTTTCTTCGTTCTAATAATGGTTTCTAAGGGTTGTGCTTAGGTTCGCGGCTTGTTTATCACATTGCACATTATCGAAATGAACAGGATGCCCCTAGAGAAAAGGAGGAAGAACCAACCGACATAGCTGCGCAGTAGGAGTAGACTGATGGCTGCCTGGAAAAGGTTTCGGAGATAAATCATCCCCATAATCCTCCTCCTCCAGGTAACCAACCAGTGCGCGTGTTGCTAATTGCAAGCTGGGACCAGCGCACGGAAGTATCAATCCGGTACGGGATGGGATCTCCTCCCTTGCGGGGCGTCCCTGAGGCCCCAGTCTTATCTCCGAGCTTGCTCTCCCCTGTGTCGTCTCCCTCATAGGCTCCGCTTGGATTTTCTCCCAGCTGACGCGTATGATGGAGTACTCCAGATCCATTGCGCTGACTGCACCGTCCTCGTCCCGGCCGACTGCTTGACGGATCGGATGGCGACTTGCCTCCGTGGAGCATGCTTGAAACCCTCCCGCGCAACCGGACCATGGAAAGGGATGCCATCTTGCCTATAAAAGTGGCACCGCATCACCCAATGTCGCATATTCACCATCAGCATCAACCTCCGGGAAGTCACTCACTTGGCATATCTCAGTCACTCTTTCACCTCTGTTTCATTCATTCCAATCATGTACTTCCGACCCATCTCGGTCCTGTCCCTCGCTGCCATGGCAGCAGCAGCCCCAGCCTGTGACCGCACCAGCCTCAACACCACGGTCGGCCTCTACACTGTTCAATCGGGCGACACCATGACCGGAATCTCCAACACCGTGTCCCGGGGCATCTGCGACATTGCGCGCCTCAACCGCATGGCCGACGCCATGCTCCCTCTCCTCACCGGGGAAGAACTGCTCATTCCCCCGGAGACCTGCACCCCCGACAACTCCACCTGTCTCATTCTCCCCAACCCAACCGACACCTACGCCGACTGCGTCTCCGGCGGTCCCCACGACTACTACACCCTCAAAGGTGACACCATCCGGTACATCGCCCTGAAGCTCAACATCACCGTGGCCGCTCTGTCCGCCACTGCGCAGGGCGGCGTCACCGATCCGGATGCACCAGTGCAGGTGGACAATTTCCTCAAGGTGCCGCAGTGCAGTCCAAGTCGGTGCGCTGTTGAACCGTTGTTGTTTACGTACGGCACGTACAAGGATCTGGCGGAGAAGACGGGCACCACTGTCGGCCAGATCATGGCGTTTAACCCGACGTATAATCATACGGATGCGGCCAGGGGGGAGGGGGCAGTGATTACTTTGCCGGGCAAGTGTGAGAATTTGGCGGCGAATGTGACAGTGATTTCTTAGTGTGTTTTCCGTTTATGGTTTATTCCGTGAGGGGATGGAGGTGGGTCTGTACATAGTCTGTTGTATAATATAGCTTTTTTAGCGTAGGTATTGTATAATGCTGCTGTTGATTAGTTGAAATATTCTTTTTCGGTATGTGTTATCCTGCTCCTGGGTGATATAGATCAGTAGAAATCTCAGTACTATTGAGTGATGGGAGTAGCTCATCCTATTGTATGCGGTGCTTGCACATAGATTCTGGGCTGTTCTCCGGCCCGTATGTAGTCTTGAGTGCGCGGTCCAGCACCTCTACACTGCGGCTAAAATTTGGTATCACGATCATGTCTTCCCAAAGACCTATTTACAGTAAGTGGAACTATTACCTCTCAGCGAGGGGTCATTCTAGACAACTGAGTTCAATTGATCGATAGATGATTTCTCCGTCAGTGTTCTGTGTGAATATTTAGTCAAGCTGCTGTTTGTATAAATATGCTAAACTGCGTGATGCTGACGCGTAGATAATTGGGCAAGCAGATTGGATGTCCAATGGATAGAACTGTCAAACTAGCTGCCCAGAAGTATTCTTCCTTGTCGCCTGAAAGTAGATTATTTATGGTTGGTTCGACCCTGACAATGAAATGGCGGTGGTTTACCTCGTGCCCTAAAGATGGCTGCAATGGACCAGTCCTTATCGGGCAACGGCACGCGTCCCTTGAATTTGTGGACACAATCGATATTCCTCAGGCTGATCTCCGATTCCACCTGCGCCACCACGCGTCAAAAGACATCCATTGTGCGATCAAGGACTGGTTGCTATGCGTGTTGTGCCCGCCATCACAAGGTATCTTTCTCAAATCATGGACTTCATCCCCTAACCAAGGACAGTGCGATGAAGCCAGACCAGAATGCCTTCACTGCGTGCGGCAGAATATCTGATGCGAAGGCTACGCGCCGCGATATTCGTTCCGTAATACCACCCCACAGCCCAAGGGACATTGGAAAGATCGGCATCCGCCAAGCCGAGGAAGTTTCCGGGCAGCACCGGCGTTACCAGCGACCATGGGCGATCTTCAGGCCCAGCCCGCTCGGGGACCGAGGTCTGCCGTGAGATCGACAATTTGACTACCCACGAGATGGCAGGGAGTTCGGCAGTGAAACATATGAGCCCTATCTCGCCGTGCTCTTCCGTGTCCAGTGATCTTGGCACTGCCGACTCCATCGCTCCAGCGGAAAGCATCTATTTGGCGCATTATATGAGCTGCCTGAAGACGCGGCTACCTGTATCCATCGTGCCCAGCATTGAACGATTCAGGACCCAACCCTAGTCCGCAATGTTTTGATGGCCTAGCAGCATTCGACCTGGCTCATTCGCACGATCGAGTCTGGGAGGACGGAGGCAGGACCTTTCTCAAGAAGCCGTCCTACAGTGATGACCATCTTGCAAACGGGGTCAGATTCTACAATGCGGCCATCAAGATTCTGCATCGCGGGGATGTGTTCCTTTCCCAGCCCGAGGAGCGGCTGGCAGCAGTAACTCTGCTTTCGTTTTGAACGCAGATGCTGTTCCCCACGCGGACAATATACCCATTGGAGAGGCGCCCAAGGCATTGTGGCCTCTCATTTTCAAGAGATCTCTATGAATGCCGCAGGCCGGTCGCTGCTCTGTGGCTGGGCGGAACCAGACGCGTATTGAGAAGCTCACAAGCTTCTATTCTGAATGCCGGAGTTGGAAAGAAAGTCTCGCCCATCCGGACAGTGGGGGTAAACAACCCTGGACGTAACTCCGAGTACCCACCCGTCAGACTGCGATAAGCCGATAACAATCTAGCCGAAGAGCATCTTGATGGGGTGCGGGAGTCCGTGCGCGAGGCGGCAGAATGAATCCATCCGGTAGGCGGAAAGGGCTGAGCTCTCGACTTCCCGCCCCCCTCCAGCTCTTTCCCTTTCTCCCCGTTTTCCATCCTTGATCCTATCTCATCTCTTCTTCCCCTTCTCCATCCCACATCACCCCGTGAAGGAAGTATTTGCTCTCTGCCGTCCTCGCCGCCAGTCCTGCCATTCCTGTGTTTTCATAGGACTCTCCACGGAGAGGGCATGTGCTCGTGACCAGGCCGCAATAGCTTTTACCCCTTCACTCTCATCCTTCTTATCATTCCCCCGACATCTACTCGAGTCAGGGCTACTCATCTTTTTCCAAAGCCCGGGTGGGTGGGCTACTCGATTCATCGAGGGATTTTCTTTTAGCCCCGCAAATATTGCAGCAACACAATGACCACATCGCCAAACCCGCCCTTGGTCTTGAAGAAGGCAGTTCTTGTTTCTACACACGATCGAGAAGTTCTTTGTTCTGCTCGCCTTCGTATTGCCCATGATGAAAATGCCAACCAAGGATCGATCTCCCTTATGATTAGGGCGGATCTCACTAACCTGAGCGGCAGACAGCTGCTGACGTTTAATATCCCTCCAGCATCAGTCGAAGAATGCGCACTAGCCCGGATAAGCAACGACGGCCTCTGTTCATCTCATTGGATTGGCATGCTCCCCGCGCCTGTCACCAGTGTTTCGGACGTGTCAACGCTGAGTCTGACACTCGGTACGACCGGCATTGTTCTTTGTCCATCTGGGATGGAGTCTCTAAGCCCAACCGATCCAGAAGACTCGAACTTTCGGGCATTCGCAAAAATCTGTCAATCTAAATCCCTACATCTACACTTCTCCACACGACAATTTGTGAAGGACGAACTTGATCAGCTGGAGAGTTTCTGCTTTGCCTTGCAAAAAGGAAGTCTTCGGGCAGAGTCTTTCAACCACGCTCGCCAGGGCGTGGTCAAGAGAGATTGGCGTGCCTTTCGTCTGTCGCTCGATCCACCCCCATATTCTGAGGAGCCCGTGTCGGATCAGGCGCAGCAACTGGATCCACCCCTATATCGTGAGGAATCGAGGTCCGATCAGGTGGGCGGAAAACGGTGCAGAGGTATCTTGTTATCTCATCGTCCTATGTGCTTTGAACTTGAAGAGCTCGTTAATAGTACCTAGACCAGTGGTCAACGCCACCTGTCGATGAAAGACCAAAAAGACCGTGCCGTCCATCCCCATCGCTGCTAGGCTCTCCCACCGAAGTCAATACGCCGAGTACTCTCTCACGATCACCGTCCTCAATCCGCCCAACTTACTTTACGCATGCTTCTTCTGACCGCACAGACCGTAACAGACTTGCGCGTCTTGAACATGAGCTCCGTGGTGTTTCCGATGACCTGATCTGCAAATTGTTAATCCGATTAGGCCGCCAACATCTGCTGGCTGTACCAGGAGATGTTGACAGTGACCTGCCATCTGACTCTGAGAAAGTCAGTTTTGCTAACGTCCAGCGGATTGAACGCCGCCTCGAACGATATGTGGATGTGATGATTGAGCGCCGCCTCAAATCACATGTCGTCGACGAGATTGTCGATAGTGCTGTGAGCGAGTGTCGTGATCAGATCTTCGACGAATACAGAACGAAC